ATGACTCAAAATAGGAAGTTCATTTGCGTTTAGGAAAGGTCCTTCCACCTTGGTTGGCTAAAAAAGCAAAAGAAAAAGATAAAAACATAGTCATCTAGTAGGACGATCCTATCCCTTCCTCCCAAGAGCAGTCTAAGGAGAAAGAGAAAGGCCTCAGTCGAATTTTGACTATATTATGTTTGCTCACTTAAGGAAAATCCCTTCCCTTCTTAGTGTCTATGATGCTCTGATGATGTCCCCTGACTTGAGAGAGACACTAGTGAAAGCACTACTCGAACTAGAGTCTTATTAAGCCTTCTTTTCTTCTAAATTCTTAGGGGATTCATGCCATTTGAAAGAGATGCCATGCGTTACATTTTTAAATTATGATCTACTCCTAGGGACTACTGAGCACAATCATATCTTATATGTCACTATTGAAGTCAATAGTTATGAGTTGAACAGAATCCTCATCGACCCAGGGGCTTAAGTAAATATTATCACTCATGAAACTTTAAAGAGCTTCTCTCTAGGTTATTTGAAGCTCACTTCAGATAAGATTATGTTGAAAGGCTTCAATAACCAAGGCCAATGTGCTCTATGGTCTATTACCCCACCTCTCAAGTTTGGAAACTTCCTAACTGAGGCAAAGTTCATGTACTTGAGGCTAACACTTCATATAGGGCTCTATTAGGAAGGACTTGGATCCATGAGTATGGAATTGTACCCTCTAACCTACACTAATATATGAAATTTATGAGGAATAATGTCGAGTATACCATTCCTAGAGATACCCAGTCTTTTTCAATGCATGAGGTCTCTATATATGATGACGCCGAGTATTATGTACCTTAGAAGACTCATAAACCTCCACCCGCTCAATCACTAGTGACTTCCACTAGTATTATACAGGGTCCTATGCAGTCACCTACATATGGTTCTATATAAGTGCCAGTATAGGGTTCACCATAGGTTAGTATTAAGGCAGGTGTTTCCACTATGCATCTTGATAGAGATCCTTTTCATTTTGCAGTGAGGCACAATGTTCCCCCTAGTAGAGGTAGGGGTGGACGAGGTAGAGATAGAGGTTCAACTCGTGAGCCACATAACTATGACACTCGGACACCTCCTCCCCCTCACCTTTATACTTCTTCTTTGACTTTTGAGTCTGACTCTTCAGATATGAAGTGATCAATGTCCTTCATCTGTCAGTCCCTTCATCACCTCTAGATTCCACTGGTTACGATTCACGTCCTACATTTTATAGTCATATGATACCCAAGAGTGGATTAGTTATTGATAGTAGTTCAGACACGGAAGAGAACTTCTGACATCAGACTACTAGTGAACAGCCTTCTCCCCATCAGATACACATGATAGGAGTTGAGGATTCCTATCAAAGACCTTCTAACACTCCCTCCACTAGTAATGATAGTCCACTAAGGACTACAAAACACCCTATACCTCATCTGTATGAGACATTTGGGCCAGCATGGTCCAAGGAGTGTGCCTCTTTACCCCGTAGTATAGGTGTCCCACTAGGTCCTATGAGCTAGAATCCGGAGGAGATTGCTATGGATGATGTGGATCTATTTTCATGGTTTATGATTTTGATGATAGCAAACACTCTTATTTCTCTATGACTGCCTTATCTACTGACATTTCAGGTCCATAAGACGAGACTTATATTGGAACCAGCTGAAGATTGGGTAGACTAAATATGAGTCAATTTATACCTTTTTTCTTTCTTCAGTCTTTTGTAATTGCTGTGGCTCCTGATGTTAAGTAACTTTGCACACACACACACCTTGGAAGTATTTCTGACTGTTCCCTAGAGTTTACTATTTTTGGTAACATCTTCCGAGATGATATTTATACGTGCCTGGACGATCAGTTCAAAAATAGAAACCCTGATTAGGGCATCATCCTTGTTAAGGCAGCCGTCATTTTAACACATCATCCTGGACGATTTTGTATCGGCCAGGATGATCGGTTCAAATTAGAAAGAATCTGCTGCCAGATCTATTTAGGAATTACTTATTTTTTAACAGCATCCAAGTGGATCGGCCTGGCCGATCCAGTATAATTTTTCTTAAATGAATATGGCAGTAAAGAAAAGAAATTAATGGTGATTTGCATGATCACATCATCCGGGCCGATCTCAGGATCGACCGAGGTGATTTGACATCGGCCAGCTCTTTTCACGATGATGTTCGAGACGATTTTTCTCATATTTGAACTAATCGTCCAGGATGATATCCTATCAGCCTGAACGATATGACAACAAATTGTCTAATTACCCCTAACCGACCGAGCTGATTGATCATAATTTATGTTGTTCGGCAAGGCCAATATTTATATCGGCCTGGACGATAATTTTAATTTTGCAAATCTATTTATAGACCTCTTGATTTCTCATGAAGAGTGTCTTTGGCAGCCATTGTAGCTTCATTTTTTCGGGGGAAACTTGAAGAGAGAGCTTGAAAGGGTATGAGGAATGGGTGAAGCTTGAGAGAGGAAGAAGATCCTGTAAGGGGGGACTCAAGGAAGTGTGGAGGGGGATTCCACACGGTTTCTCCGGTAGGCTTGCACTTTAATACCGTCGAATTCAAGACTTGTCTTGAGGGGAGTTCACCGAAAAAGAAGATCTCTTTGGTGTCAAAAGACCCGGCAACTCCGCCACACCGGGGAAGGTGGAAGTGATTTTGTAAAGGCTTCTCCGCCTAGCTGTGGGGGCTAAAGGAGAGACACTTAGTTAGTGCAATACTTGGAGGGTACCTCCGAGGAGTGGACGTAGGTCAAGGATTGACCGAACTACTATAAATTTGGTGTGTTCTTTCCTTTATTATTTTCGCATTTAATTTCCGCTTTGTGTTTTCTTTCTGGTGAATTTTGGTTTGGTTTGAGTTTTGATTTAAAGATATTTAAAATACAAATTCACCTCTCTCTTTTTAATTATTCTTGGGACAGTTCATAGGGCCTAACATCCATAACGAACTTTCAAGTGGTATTAGAGCGGGATTCATAAAAATAAAATTTTGAAAACTTTTGAATTTTTAATCTATGGCTAATTTTTTTAATCGTAATTTTACGGAAGGTTATTCAATCACTAGACCACCTTTGTTTGAAAATATTATATTTGATTTTTGAAAAATTAGCATGTCTACCTTTTTGCAATCAATTGATTTTTGAATGTGGCATATGATTTTAATTGGTTATTCATTACCGATACGTGTTATAGATGGAATTAAAGTTGATATTCCTTTTAATCAATGAAATAGAGATGAACAAATTGATGCTCAGTTGAATGCAAAATCTTTAAAATGCTTTTTCTGTGCTTTAAATTATGAAGATTTTATTTTAGTATCCTCGTGCACTACTTATAAGGAAATTTGGGATAAACTACACACCATATACGAAGGCACTAGTGAAATCAAGCAATTCAAGTTGAATATTTTAATGCATGATTATGAAATGTTTTCCATGAAACCTTATGAAACGATATCAAACATGCATACTAGGTTTATTCAAATTGTGACATCATTTCATGCTTTAGGTAAAGAATTTTCAAATTTTGAAAAAGTCAATAAAATTCTTCATTGTCTACTAAATAAGTTTATAAAAAGCAAAAAATTTCTTGGGCAGACCTTGCTTCTGAATCATCTGATCAGGAGCAAGATGATGCTTAAACCTTTGATTATATGTTTATGTTTGCATGTTTTGTTTGTTCTTTTATTTTTGTGATTTTCTTTTTATTTATTTATTTATTTATTTATTTTTCCATTTTTCATTAAATTTTTTGTGTCATTTCGGATCTAACACGCACATCACCTTTCTAAAAATGAAAAACATACCTCTTATTTTTTTCTTAAATTCTTATGAAAATTGTGTTTGACTTATTTAAAAACAATCAAAGGAAGAAAACTCTTATTTTTGACTCTTAATCTTTGTGTCCTAAAAAAGATTATTCTACCTTTGATTTAAAATCTTTTTCATATTTTAAATTAGTTTTTTATTCTAAAATTTTTATCTCCCTGCATTTTATTTATTTCATAGGGACCTTTTGCAAGTTGTTGAATCTAACTCATAATTTTCTTAGTCAAGAAATTCTCTTTGTCAATAGGGTGGGTCTACTTTTATTTTTAAAATTTCAAATAGGTAACATATTAAACTACAGTCGTTAGAGAGAGAAAGTTGAAAATTTGAAATTTTCAATCCTGCTATCCGTTCCAGCTTCTCGGGATAGGAGGAGAATGATGGCGGCGAACTGCCGCCGGCAAGGGCATGATGTAGAAACTGATTATGAAGGAAAATAGAAGTCAACGTAATCATCTTCGAGGTCTCCGTCGCTTATGGTTAATTCAAAAATCAACACTTCTGGTGAGTTTTTTTCAAATTCGAATTCAACTTAGAGAATTCAAATTCCTTTGACTAAACGTCAAGGACCGTCGGTGATTAAGGAGGTATCTGATTTATCTCCTTTGAGGATTCAATTTGTGGAAGGCGAAGGTAAGGCTCCAGCTGAAGTTTTAAATTCGGTTACCCCTAACAGTTTTAATTCTACAAATTTTCTATCTGATCATACTGCCTCAACTTCTGGAATGAAAATTTTCGTTAATCAATTTGGGAATTCAAATGCAATCCTTGGACTTTGTCGTAGCATGATAAATGAAAATTCCCAAAATTTGTTTGACAAAAATCTTCATTCAGAACATGATAAAAATACTAAGATAAGCATAGAGAAGCTGAAAGATGGAATACCAAAGAGCTCGATTGGTTCTGGTAATGTCAATCCTTGGAGCAATAAACCTTACATAAAGTTGGATTTAAAAATAGAGGATGTGGTCTATTCTGATGATGGTATTTCTGTCAAGTTGAAAGAAGAAAGGGAGCAGATGAATTCTAAAATACTATCCAAATCTTTTATTATTAAAGTTTTTGGAAATATTTAACCTTCTCATTTAGTAGCTTGGGAAATAAGAAAACAATGGAATCAAGTCGGGAAATTCCACTTTACTACAATGGGTATAGGATGGTTCTTATGCTCTTTCTTTTCAGAAGAAATGGTTGAAGCAGTGCATTCTGGTGGCCCGTGGTTTTTAAATGGACACATAATAGGTATGGAGAAGTGGACTCCTGAATTTAATACTTCTTCTATTAAGGGACTTTCTTCTCCAATTTGGATTAGAATGCCCCATTTACCTTTGCAATGTTGGGATGAGAAGAATATAGCATGTATAGCTTCTAGAATTGGAAAACCACTAATGATGGATGGCAACATGTTCCATTGGGCGAGAAGAGAATTTGCAATAGTATGTGTAAGAATCAAACTTGATCAACCCCTTCCAACAAGACTTTGGGTGGATAGCATTGCTGGAAGGTTCTTCAAAAATGTGGAATATGAGAAGGTTTCTAACTTTTGCTTTGTATGTGGAAAGATTGATCATGCGAATAAGGAATGTGGTCAAAAAGAAAATATTCCTAAAATACTGAATGTTGATAATGGAGGTGGTATTGAAAAGAAAATGGAAGGAAAACAAGACAATCGGATTTAACCATCTTATGGTCCATGGATTTTGGTTAACAGCAAGTGAAGAAGAAATATTACAAAGAGAAAAGTAGAGACCAAACCAGGCACACTCAAATATGTTAAAAAAGTTGTTATTCCTGTAGAAATTGAGAAGGAAGTGCAGATTATGCTAGATGCTGATATAAGAGAAAACTTTTCTCTTGTGAATACTGGAAAACCATGTAATATGGATGATCATTTATAAGATGGGGAGTTCATGCCTGAACATAATATTGAATTATCTTAGGATAACAGCTTGGCATTGGAAAAATCTTCTAACAATAGAGATGGGAAGGGTTGTCTGTGAAATCAAGTAAATCCCAAGGGATTACTTGCGAACTCAGGTATTCCCTATCATGATTCAAATGTATATGACAACAATAATTCTGGGAAGATTGCAGATAATAAATTAACCGTGGAAACTCATCAAGTTAATATGTTTTCTATCCTTCAATCAGTCAATGAAGATAGATATGAAGACGTGTCTATACAGAACTCTATGATGAGTAATGAAGATGGTAATGAAGATGGGAAACTGAAAATTGAAGCAAAAACTGTTAATGGCACAGATGAAGATGTCCCAGTTATGTAATTCAGAAATGGTCTAAATGAAGATTTGCCTAAATGCAAATTGGCAAAAGAACTAAAATCTTTAGGACCCATTAAAAGCAAATCCCGTGGAAGATTTGGAGAATGAGGTAGTAGGAGGAAGGTTGAGGGCTACTCCCCAAATAAACTTTAATGAATTCCATAGCCTTTTGGAATTGTAGAGGGCCAAAGAAGAAAGAAGCCTCTCTATACATGAAGGAGTTATATAAAAGATCATAAAGTTTTTTGTGGGTTTAGTAGAAAATAAAATTAGCTCTTTTGATAAAGCTGATTTTGATAAGATCATGGGTCCTAATTGGGATTTTTTTTATTCTACCATCGGATGGTTTATCCGGAGGGATTATGATTCTTTGGAGAAATGATATTGCTTCATTTTCAGTGATTAAGACTTCGGAACAATGTATAATTGGTGATCTCAATGTCTTTAATCAAGGAAGATGGATGATTGCTACGGTATATGGGAGCAAGGAGGTTCATAAGAGAAGTTTGTTATGGGAATGCATTCAAGAGCAATCTAGAAGGAAGATTCCAACAGTTATTGGAGGGGAATTTAATTGCGTCTTATCAAAAGAGGAAAAGAGAGGAGGTAGGAAGTTTATTTTCTCTAAAGGTTCCTTTGATATGCTTAAATTTATGAATGATAATGACTATCATGATATTGGAGTGGTTGGTCCAAGATATACTTGGTGCAACAATAAAGTGGGAAGTAGAAGAATTCTAGAACGGCTGGATAGGTGCTTGTTGAACTCAAAGGCTCTTCAATGTATCCAAATTTCGATGGTAAGACGCTTAGCAAGAGTGGCTTCTGAGCACTGCCCGATAGTGCTGAAATTATTTGAAGTAGCTAGAAGGATAACAAGGTCTATTAAATTTGAAGATGTTTGGCTATCTTTTAAAACAGTGGAGCACATTGTTTCTAAAACCTGGAAGAAGAATTTTGTAGGAGATGACATTGAAGTTCTCAACAAGAAGTGCAAGAGAGCTTTAAATGATTTATATTATGGAGCAAGAACAAGCTAAAAGACTTCTCTAGTGAAAAGAGAGATTGAAAGCGAAATTTTATTACTCCAAGAAGAAGAAGCAAGGGTTGGATGGCTGGATGAATGTAAGTTGTGGAAATTAAGAGCTAAAGTTAGAGAATTGAATGTTATTTTCAATTACTTGAACACTTGGTGGAAACAAAGAGCAAAAGTGAAGTGGGTGGTTGAGGGAGACTCAAATAATAAATTTTTTCATGCCTTTGCCAAATGCTTATTGGATCTCTCAAATCAAGAATCATCATGGCTTGCTCACAGAAGACCCAAAAGTAGTGGAAGAAATTTTTTACAATTTCTTTCAAGAGAAATGGAAGGAAAGATATTGCAGTCTTGATAACTGGACGAAACCTTGGATGGTGTTGAATGAAGATGACAAGAAATGGTTGAAGAATGACATTTCTGAAATTGAAGTTAAGGAGGCAGTTTTGAGGTTAGGAAATAATAAAGCTCCGGGATGTGACGGATTGACACACTCCTTCTTCAAAAACTTTTGGGATATCATTGGAGGAGATGTATTTAAAGCAGTAAGGCTCTTCTTTTGTACAGGTAAAATGAATAGTGAATGGAAGGATACTCTTGTAGCGCTCATTCCAAAAACTACTAATCCTTTAACTCCTTCATTCTACCGTCCAATCAGTTTATGTAACACAATTTATAAAATTGTGTCCAATGTGATCTTGAATAGACTAGTTTTAGTTATTCCTAAAATTACGTTGGAAGAACAAGTGGCTTTTGTAAAGGAGAGATCCATTTCTAAGCATCTTTTATTAGCACAAGAAATCTTCAACAAAATGAGGTTTTTAAAATCTAGCAATGGTTTCTTGGCTATTAAATTGGACATGGAACAAGCATACGATAGTATGTGTTGGCTTACTTTGAAGAAATTGATGGAGTTGGGATTCCCAGACAGTTTTCTAAAACTTGTTTTGGACTGTGTTTCTTATCCCAGATTTTCAATTCTTATTAATGGGACAAGATCTAAATGGACTGAGGGTAAATGTGGGTTTCGTCAAGGATGCCCACTCTCTCCATTTTTATTTATTATTTTCTCTCAGCTTTTGTCTAATTCTTTTTTCAGCAGGATAGATAATTTAAGAATCAAAGTTTTTCCAATGCTCCAAGAATTACCCACCTAATGTACGTTGATGATGTTTTACTGTTTTCAGATGCAAGTTTAAAAAATGTGAAGAAAATTAAAAGTATTGTCAAGCAATATTGCAGCTAGACTGGTCAGAGTATAAACAAGAACAAATCTTCATTGATTTTTGGAAACTCTGTACTGAGAAGAAGGAAGAGAAAGATTTCTAAGCTGCTGGATTTCAAACCGATAGAAGAAATTGTTTACCTGGGAATTAATATTGCATTGAGACGTTTAAAAAAGGAGGATTTTCATGTGCTGCTAGATAAAACTGTCAAAAAAATGAATGAATGGAGTAATAAACATTTGTCCCTAGCAGGCATGTTATGTTTGGTTAAAAATGTTATTCTTACTCTACGGATTTTTATGATAACTCACTCTCTTGTTCCTTTGAAAACATTATATGAGTTAGAAAAACTCTGTAGAGATTTTATATGGAATAAAATGGATAACAGCAATGGGTTACATTATGTAGCATGGGAGCTATTATGTACATCAAAGAATTGTGGAGGTTGGGGTCTTCAATCTCCTATTTCCAGAATTGGATCCCTTAGAGAAAAGTTTTCTTGGAACCTCATTGAGAAACCAAACATTCTGCTAAATAGAAACTTATTAGCAAAATATGGTGATTTATGGTGGAGTAAAGAAGATTTTGAAGGTGGATCAAATTCTTGGAAAATCATCATAAGTGGATGGAAAGCTCTTAATAAATTTGTTAGATGGAGAGTAGTTAATGGTTCCAGCATAAGAGTGCTTCAGGATACTTGGATTCTTGATAAAAGTCTCCTTAAATGGCCTACTTTTGTAGGATGCATTGATGAAGATAATACTTCTCTTGATCATTTCAGAAGATAATACTTCTCAAGATCAAATGGAATTAAAGCTACTATTTTCCGGTAAAACATTATCTGCCTTGTTAACATAAGATAAGCTTAGAAATTGTTCTTCTTTTAAACAGTTTTCCTGGATTCAAAAGCTAAAAATCAATGCTCAGGTAGAATTATTTTTATGGAGATTATATATTGATGCTAGCCCGACTGCAGTTTTTCTTTTTAAATGAAAACTTTCAACTAATTGCTTATGTCCTAAGGGGTGTGGAGTGATTGAAGACCTTAACCATGTTACTTCTAATTGTTCTAAATTTCTTGAGGTTTGCAAGGTCATACAAGATTGGGGATTAAAAATTCCTTATTTCTATAATTGGAATGAATTCAACATTGGTGTAAGGAGATTAATAAAGGAAGATTTAATGGCTGCAAGGATTTATATACTCATTGTGTGGATGGTTTGGAACAATAGATGTAAGATTAAGCATGGGAAAACTAGTAATAGTATGTTATTCATTTCTTCTTCCATTCTTAGCTTTCTTAGTTCTGCAAAACAAGATTTCTTCCTCTCAGATCACTAGGATACTTATCAGTCCAATGGACTGCTCCTTCATTATTAGCATCCTCCTCCACCTGGGTGGGTGAAAATTAATCTAGATGTAGCTCTTAAAGAAAACTACATGGCTGGAATCAGTGGGGTGGTAAGAGATGATAAATGGAGATAGATCTATGCTTTTGGAAGGAAAAAATTACATTGGGATAGTGGACAAATGGAGCTCTCCGCTTTCAAAATTTTAGATGGAATATGTCTTGAATGGACAAGAGAAGTTAATGGTATTGTATTGGAAGGTGATAATAATAATGTTCTCCAATATCTTCATAACTTGTACAACAAACCGAAGATTATTAGAGAGAACTTGGATGATGAAGGTCTCCTATTACTTAATAAGTTCAACTACTTTATCTTTAATTGTGTGACACGTAATTGTAATAAGTTAGCTGATTATTGTGCTAACTTAGCTTTATCTTTTGATTTTGATTGGGATATGTTCATTGAGAATAACCTTCCATCTTCCTTTGTGAAATTAGCAAAGGAAGATAGTGATAGATGGTTGATTCCTCATTAGCTTGTATCTAGGCTTTTTTGGTGACTCTTTTATATTTTAATTCTACTTAGCATTTTCTCAAAAAAAAAAAAAAGATAGGTAGCATATTCTAAAACAAAAAAAAAATTGGCCAATGATGCCAAATCAAAAGATGCGCAATGACGCCAAATTGAGAAAGATACACAAAGTGTATCAAAAAAAAAAAGATGCGCAAAGTGCGCCAAAAAAATTGACAAGAGGCATAAAATGAGCCCACAAGGAGTATGCTTACCATTTTTGCTTTATTCAAAGCTTAAGAAAATCCTTGATATTTTCGATGTTTGAGTTTGAAAATCATTACTCTTGATTCAACAATTCGTGCATTAATCTTCTATTAGATATGTTTTATGAAAGGAGTTTTGAAAAATGACTGTTTCTTTCTCTAATTTATTCCTTGATTTAGATATTGAATTAAAAAGTTTTTTAGCCTTTTAAAAGAACTAGAGTTTGGATTATCAAATTCTGAATTTCTAACCTTTTCTGGACTATACGTTGTCAATACAATTCTACTAAGCTTTTGAATAAAATCAAGAGGTATCTTTCTCATTTTTAGAATATTTGTTTTGTTCACTAGATCAGGGATCATTTTTGTCTTTTAATAATTTTATTCTTATTGTTTGCGCCCCTTCTCTTTTTGAAATGTCAAAGTGAGAGAACATACTATTGAATTTGTATATTTTTGGTATTTTTTCTTTCAAAAAATTAAAAACAACAAAAATGTTTTTTTTATCCCCTTTTAAAAAAAAAATTATTTTGGTGAGGGGGAGGTTAGGTGAAAATGTTTTTTGCAAATTCAACCAGTAATATTTTCCATCATCAAAAAGGGGGAGATTATT